ATTAAAAACAATTTTTAAATAAAAAATGAAATATTATAAAATATTGGTTAAAGATTTTTGCTTTATTTATGGAAATAAAAATAAATTTAGTTAATAAAATATTTTGTTACGATTCCAATTTGCCTTGTCATCTTTTTTTAAGCCATGTCACATTTTTTTGAGTAAGAGTGATTGTGGTTGTGGAGCTGACATTTAAGTAAACTGTAAAAAAATCACTTTCTAAATAATATATACGGGATTTTTCTTGGTTATGCATGTTAACTAGATGACTCCCCACGTAATACGCATATGAAATATATTTTAATTTTTAAGTATTAAACTAATTATAAAATCATGTTTCATGGTCGTTGATAAAAAGAAACATGATTTATGGTTCTCTTATATCTTCATTTTCTACCTCTTAATTTACCAAATAAGTTTTTTTTCATGTGTCATGTTTTTTGTTGCTTGTGTTCTCCTATTATTTTATTATTTCTATTATTTTGAGAAAACATAACAAAGATAATTAAAAATTAGTAAGATTGCATATATATTTTTAAATATATTTTTCTGAATGATTATTTTTTTATTATTGGTTAATTTTTTATTTATTAGTAGTTCCATGTAATAAATACTAATTTTATTAGTCTCTTGGATTACGGCTTATGGGTGGAGTATATTGATTTTTTTTAAGGAATTTTCTATCAATTAACATATTAAAAGATTTTTTTTTTTCAATTTAATTTTTTCATAGTATTAATTTTTTGTTGAAAAAAATTTGATCATAATATTGTTTTTCTGAATTTTAATTATTTTTAATTTTATAATAAAATGACTTAATTGTGTTGATTAATAATAGGTTAATATTTTTTAATGAGAACACGTAAATATTTTTGTGTGTGAATATAATTTAATTATTTTCACTTGTCAACTGTGTGTTTGTTGTTATTAGTGTAATTTTATAACAAATTATTAATTGATTGACAATATAATAATCGAAAATGGCATTCAATAGTTGAATTTTGAAATCTTAATCGTTTCATCTTGAAATATCTTTTGTGGTCAATGTTTTCTAGATTTACATAAATTAAAGTAACTTAATTAACTTTAAAAGCTGACGAAGTTTAAATACCCGAATGAAGAGAAACATTATTGATTGTGGGCTAATTTAATTAGTTACTAATGGCTAAATTAAACATTTTGCTATGTCATATTTTATACAATGTCATATCATAATAAAATTTGGAGAATAATTCCATAGAAGGCACCTAAACTTTTTTTCCAAAATCACTTCTCAATTAATGTATAAGAGATTTACCATTAAACAATTAAGTAAAAACTCATCATATGTCTTTGATCATTTATGTAGCAAAAGCAATATAGATGTAACGATCTTATATAGTCTAAAATTACTTGAGAATCAGTGTATTACAGGATTCATCGAGATCTCTCAAGATCTATGAAAAAAGAGATAGTAAAGAAAAAATCACACCAAGTATTTACTAATATGTTGTAAACCACCTCAATTAAAGAAATATGTTCTAAACTACATAAACTATTATCTAATACATTGTGACATACACCAAGCATATGTAAACATGTTAAAAACTACAAATTGATGTCTTTTGATAAATATTTATTAATCTGGGGTCAATTTCTAATTATTTTCATAGAAAACAGTTTTTTTAATGGAAATCCCAAAATTTTTAAAAATTACAAAAGTTTATTAAAGATAATTTAAAATGTAATGTATATAGAGTTCCAAAACTATATATTTTAAAACCATTGAATTTGTTAGACAAAAATAAACACAATTTTTAAAATATTGGTCAACAAATATAGTTTAAATTATATTGAATAAATTTTAATAATTTAGAATGAAATAATAAATGACATATATTTACATTTCTTCTTGGGATAATATTTTTACTTGTACCTTCGGTACTTCCCAACAATAACTAGTGAATTTTAAATTCAATTTAATTTTGAAATTCAAAATTGAAAGTATAATCTAACTTCTCTCTTCACTATAAATTATTGTTTTAGAAAACAAATTATATTTTTATTTTTTATATTTTGTATTATTATAAATTTTGGTCATTTAAAAATTTAGTTTTGTTTCCG